ATCTCCAATCTAGTTAGTATTTGATTTCTCTTCTGATGTCTTAATGACCAACATGTCTGCCCCAGCAGGAGGAAGAGGGGAGATGGGTTTGGCGACCCCGCTTACCTTAATTACAGCCCCAAATTTCTTCCAGGCCCAGCTGTGAACAGAATTTGGTAGATGACATTCTTGTGTACAAGACTGAGAGGGTCTAGGGATAGAATAGAATGCAGGCCTTATTCTAGCAGTCCCCTCTCTGCCCCTCCCTGCAAACCTTCATGGCTACCATGAGCCAAGCACTGAGTATCTCTTCACTTTTAAATCTCCTTTAATCTTTTCATGTTGTGGAGCAGAAATGCTGACCATTTTACAGAGAGGAAAGTGGAGGCTTCTTAGGTTTTAGGTAACTGGCAGAGCTGGGATCTGAACCCAGGTTACCTGATTCAAGACTCTCTCCTCCTGTGTCCTGCTACAGTCTCCAGTGGGGGGGTTCTCAGGGGCCTCTGCAGACAGATGGAGGTCCTTCTTCTGTGTCCATTTCTCACCTCGCAGCATTAAGTCGTGGGCTGCCTTTGGATTCTTTTTTTTTTTTTTATGGTATGTAGTAGCCCTTTTGTCTAAAATGTTTCTGCTTTAAAACAGTTACCCCAACTCAGTCTGGGGACCCAGTAAATGACACTCCCAGTGCCAGCCCTAAGGAGATTAGATAATTTTTTCTCTTTCTCCCAAACCTCTTGGCCAAATTTGTTACCATCTTGTACTCATTTAAGCTGATGGACGGAGCGTGTTGTTTAAGGGAACAAACGTGCTATTCTCCCCAGGCCTGAAGCCAAGCAGCCTCACAGCTTGAGAAACTCTAAAGCTCTGTGACTCTGTCTGTAAAAGGGCACCTCTGGTGGACATGTGCCTGGCAAGCGAAGACGTCACCCCATGCCAGTTTCTGGTGAGGAGCAGAAGTCCCCCTCCACCCTGATACCAACCGTCTGTGTTTAAATGTCAAGTGTGAAACTGAGCCTTTTTGGCCCGTAGACTTTGGAAAGCCTGGACGGTACACTTCACAATGATTCATTCTTATTAAACTGCTGGAAAACTCAAGCGAACCCGAGTTACTTGTTCTAACCCCCAAGGCGTGGGCCTGCTGGGGAGAAGGGGATGATTTCTCATTCCTTTTCTTGGGAATAAGCACAGCAGTCCAGCTCTTCTCACTGAGGAAAGGACAGCCCCGGCAACCCTGAACCCCTGAATATGGGGTCAGCTGAGCCTGTTAGGGGGCCTGTTGGCCATCTGATCGGGCACTAGAGGCATTTCAGCCACTTTCAGGGCTAGCACAGTTGGTTCGGTGCCTTTCTAAAATAATGATTTTAATAGTAAAATCAGCCTATTCACCATTCAATACTTAGCTCATAAATCTATGAGAAGAAGTAGAATTAAGCAGCAGGTGGGGTTGGTACCTGACCTTGTTTCTGTATCTTTTTAGATGTACCCAGGCCTTGCCACCCTCTCTGCTCCTCCCTCCCCTTCCTTTTTTTCCCCTTCCCTTCCTCTCTCTCTCTTTCTTTCTCTCTCTCTCCCTCCCTCTCCCTCTGCTTCTCTCTCCGTCTCCTTCAGCAGAGGAGAGGGATATAAGTCAGGGGATCATTTTGAGTTAGGATTAGCAGGATGAGGAGAAGCTTTCTAAGAAGACGAATGGGGTTGGAAAGTGTTTTCTTGGCTGAAGGAACAGAAGGTCCCAAAGCCCATGTGGTCACCCTGTGACTGGGGGAATGACAACTGGCTTCCTGCAGGGTTCTGGAGGCAAGGATGAACTTGGCATGGGATGGACTGTGGAAGGTCTTAGATTTTGAAAGGCTCGTGTTTCTACCCTCTGGGCAGGATTTTAGCTTTGATGCTTCTGGCATTCTGGGTTGGCTAATTCTGTGCCAAGGGGTGAGGAGTGGGCACCGGCTAGTGCATTTGGAATGTTTAGTGGCAGCGCTGGCCTCTACCCTCTAGATACCAGCAGCATCCCTGCTCCCCTCCAGATGTAACAGCTAAAAATGTCTCCAGATGTTGCCAAATGTCCTTAAGAGGCAGGTGGCAAAATTGCCCCTGGTGAGAACAGTGGCCCCAGGTGGTGAGGAACCTCTGAGGATGCAGAGGCTGGAGAACGGCAAGGTCAGAACAGAGGTTTGGGTAGATCGCTGTGCAGACACGCAGAAATGATGAAGGTGGTCACCAGGAGACAGAGAGACCAGGGTTGGGGCACAGCCACAATAGTCCTGGAGGGCAGGAAGTGTGTCTTGTCTGAGATGGGCAGAGAGGGTGGGGGTCTGGGGAGCAGACCAAGAGTAGGATTAGGGGGGGCCACATATGGCCGCCGATTCCCTGGGGAAGACGAGGCAGGGTTATAGTTTAAGGCCTCAATAGCCGGGCTGGGAGCTGCAGGGATGGGGCTGCCTGGGGAAGAAGCATGGGTCTCTGTGGGCCTCGATCACCCACACGGCTCTGCTCATCCATCCACACACGCCCATATCCCCTCTCCCTAGCTTCCCTCTACCCCACCTGTGCACGTTCTGTCTACTCCCCCAGTTATCCCACCCCCGGGACAGCAGAGAAAGCACTTAGCATCTACGCAGTGGGGCTCGCCCAGCTGACCCCCTCGCTGAGTTTTCTGGACACTTCCTTGCCGACACCTGCTGCTCTTGGAGACTTGATCATATTGAGCTTCGATTACCATTTGCTGGGTGTTTCCCAGGTTCAGAGTCTCACATTCTATAACTTCATCCTCATAAGAGAGAGAAGAGCAAAAAGGCTCAGAGATGAGGCACTCTTACACTAGCAATTGTCCCCTTGCTTGTGAGCTCCAGGGGGCTGGAGCCATCACCGGCATGGTCACAGCCATGTCACCAGCCTCTGACACACTGTCTGGCTGGGAGCAGAGATCCAGAAGGAGTTTGTAGAATCAGTGATACCATTCAGGTCACACAGGATCTGGAGGCAGGATGGGAGCCCAGGTACGTCTGACCCCAGAGCCTGGGCAATTTCTGGGCCACATTTTTTCCCTTTATATTTTTTTCCTCCCTTTATATTCTTGCCAATAATAGACATGTGTTTGGATGGATGGATGGATGGATGGGTGGATGGATAAATGAATGAAACAGCGTCAGTGGTAGCTTCCAGTCTTTCTTAGTTTCTACCCAGAGATAAGCTCAATGAGTCTTCAGACTTGGGCCCACTTGCAAGCCTGGGTTCTTGCCCTGTCTTCCTCATCACTCCCAGCTCAGACTGTTTCTAGCCTCTGACAGACAGGTGATCAACTATCTTATCTATTGCAGGAATATGTATAAAAAGTTGTCAACAATATGTGCTTTGGATTAAAGTCCCTCCACAGGGAAGGACAATATATGAAGCTACTGTTTGCCTGTAACACTTTAGTATAAATTTACTAGTCGGCTGCCTTCTAAATGGATTCCCTCCTGAGAGCAACTGTCCTAGAATGAGACATGGGCAAGTGAAGTTTCCACATGGGGAAGGGTATGGCTGTTCTGGCAGTGTGAAAGAACAGGAGGAAAGGGTTAGGAATTTGCTGCAATAGTGGGAGGAGAAGTGAGAGTGTGTGGGAGAATAGCCCACTTTCTTTTTTAGTTCTCCTTGGGGTGGTCCTAGGATCTCATTTTCTACAGAAGATAGATTATCAGATTTAGCAAAAAAAGGCTGGTTCCTAATCCAATAATCTAGAGCTAGCAGGTCCAACCGCTGGTCCTGGGCTGGGCACTGGGGCCCAGGAATGGTCAATCCATCTCATCCCTGGGAAGCCTTCTCTACCATCAGCCCAGATGTCACAGGAGCAGCATCTGCTGGCTAATGAGCCAGGCGTCACAGGCACTGAAAAGATTGAAGGGTCACTACTGGGGGTGACCAGGGGTTCTCCTGGGGCAGGTGGCATTGGAACTGGGATTCTAAGGATGTTGGGCAGTTTGCCACCCCCTATTGTTGATGGATGTTTGAGGGTATTTTGCAGTTTCAGGTTATGGGTAATTACTCCACGAACATTCTAGAACATAACATGAACATACCTACAAACTTCTACAGCCAAATACCTGCAATGCCTATCTTTCGCTTTAGTAGGTATTCTCCAGTACGAGAACTGTTTACTTATGTTTCAGACTCTAGACCAGGGATTCTCTACTTTAGCAAAATGGGTATTGTGGACAGGATAACTTTTTTTATTATTGGAGACTGTCCTGTGCATTGTAGGGTGGTTATCAGCACGTGGTCTCTATCCTCTAGACACCGGTAGCACTACACCCCTACAAGTCATGACAATTAAAAAGCACCTCAGACATTGCCAAATATCTTTTGGGGAGCAAAATTCCAACCCCCAAGAATGTGAGCTCTCAAGGACGTTCCCTATTTATACTTCAGGGCCAGATGTGCAGTAAATGCTTAAGAGATATTTTTTCTTTTCCTTTTTTTTTTTGTTTTGAGACAAGATCTCACTCTGTTGTCTAGGTTGGAGTGCATTTGTGCAAACTAAGCTCACTGCAACCTTGAACTCCTGGACTCAAATGATCCTCTCACCTTAACCTCCCAGTTGGCTGGGACTAGACTATAGGCATGAAACACCATGCCTGGCTAATTTTAAAATTCTTTGTAGAGACAGGATCTAGCTATGTTGCCCAGGCTAGTCTCAAACTCCTGGCCTCAAGCAATCCTCCTGCCTCAGCCTTCCAAAGTACTGGGATTAGAGGCATGAGCCACCAAGCCTGGCCTAATTTTGGTCTTTTAAAAGTAGCTTTGAGCTTGAAATCTCCTCGGATGATTTGCCTTGCCTGGGCAGAGCAGTCCTGGGCACAGGCCCTGGCTGGGCAGGGCAGGGCAGGCCCACATGATGCATGGCAGTGGCCAGAACTCCAGCATTGGGGGAGAGTGACTGGGTCTTGTCTCCATCACTGCACTTGTGGGGACCAGCCAGAGACCATGACCTCAGCCATCCTCCCTGACGCTGTCTTCCCTGGTCCCCTCCCCTCTCCTCTGGGCAGGCGTGGTGTCCTGCATCTCCATGAGAGCAATGGGATTCACGACATCGGCCTTCCCCAGTGGCAGCTGCTGCTCTGTCTGATGGTTGTCATCATCGTCTTGTACTTTAGCCTCTGGAAAGGAGTGAAGACATCGGGAAAGGTAATCTCTCCTTGTTTCTCTTTCAGTTGGGAGGCTGGCCTTGACAAAAGGTATTTTTCTAGTATTTTTCATGTAGTTGGTGAAAAGAAAAGGTGGAACTGGAAGTGCAGGGCTTGTGTTCAAGCCCCAGCTCTGTCACTGACTTGGACAAATCCTTTCCCCTTCCCAAGCCACAGGAGGGTGAGGGGACACAGATCAGACTTCCCTGTACGCCCCTGCCAAAACTTCCCCCAGTAGCAGAGGCCAGGAACTGGGAATCCCCCCAAAGCCTTTGACAAAGCCTAAAGCAACCACTCACTGACATGTCTGTTATAAATCTTGAATTCTGACCTAAAATTTCTTTCAAATATTAAATTTGCTTTATTATAAAATCAATAAATCACCCCCCCTCTAAATTTTTGAGTAAGAGTACTTGAATCTAGAAGATAACCAGATGCATGCTGGGCTTTGGGCTTCCTCCCACTACATGCTGAGGGCCCCAAGGGTCTAGGTATTGTGGAGAGAAGAGCACAGAATTAGGTCACCAATGACAGCAGTTTGGAGTTGGTATTCTGACTGTGAGTGACACTGTAGTCAGCCTCTTAGGGGTGGGGTAGACTCAGGAAATGGCTCATGTTCGTTTTTAGCCTGAGGAACATTATAGGAATAACAACTTGAGGGCCCTTACTAGCCTGAGGACCCACAGATGTAGCAGAGGTGCCAGCCTGCGGCTCATGGGGCACATCCTGCTTTTGTGAAGACTTTTTTTGCTTATCTACTGTATAAGATATCACAAAAAATATGCATGGGTTTTGTTTTTTTTTTTGCTAATTAGCTTTTTTAGTATTTGTGTATTTAATGTGTAGCCTAAGAAAACTCTATTCTTCCAATGTGCAGCAGAGAAAAAAAAAAGGGCTGGATACCCATGAATTGTAGGGCATTACTACTAAAGAGGACGTAGCTGGGAAATGCTCTTTCTAGCCTTTTAATTAGCATGGCTATGCAACAAACCACCCCCAAACGTAGGGACTTAAAATAGCAACCATTTTATTATCTCTCAAGATTCTGTGGATTGACTGGGATCAGCAGAGTGGCTCTTCTGCTCCAGGTGATATTCCCAAGGCTACGTATTTGGGGTCTTGACTGGGCTGGAACACCCTACATGGAAGGTGGTGCTGGCTGGGATATAATTTGGAGCTGCCCACCAGAGCACCTTGGTGCCTTTCTATGTTGCTTGGGCTTCTCACAGAATGGTAGCCGAGTTCAAAGAGCATGTTCCAAGTAGACAAGCCCCATTGTGCAAGTTGCTCTTCCAGTCTCTGCCTGCATCATGCTTGCTATTGTCCCAATGATCCTTAACAAGTCTTGTAGTAAAGCCCAGAGTCCATGTGGCAGAGAACTACACACAGGTCTGAGTTCCTTGGAGGTCACAAGGCAATAGTTTACCATAATCAGGTAGGCATGGATCTGGGAGAAGCTTCATTAAGCAGCTGATTTTGGAAAGAGGGGTGCAACAGGGTTCTTTCTGATACTACTAGAGTTCTTGGTCATGCCATTAAGAGAAAAGATGGTGGCAAGGGACAAGCAGCCAATGGGGCTAAAATCTGTCAAGAACTAGAATTGGAACTTCTCATCTTCCTACTGGGAACACAGTGTCTTCCCTAGGACTCAAAAAACACAGATGAGGGCTGGGAGGAATTCTGTGGTCAAGCAAAACCACACTAGGACCACTATCATCTGGATGCCTAGCACATAATAGGTCTTCGGTAAATGTTTATTGAAGGATTGAAGGGTGGGTGGGTAAATAAGTTTACAGAGCTTCACTAAGGGCTTTTTTGAATTCAGTCAAAAATTATTAAGCATTTTTTGACACCTATTATATACCAGACTTGATGATAGTATTAGTGATGCAAGAATAAATAAGGCAGATTCCCTCTTTAATTGCTTATATGTATTACAGGTAGGTGGCAGGTCAATCAATGTCACTAGTTATTCGGGTCTCTATCCAGACAAATGTATGTGTGTCTTCCTTTAAATAAACACCAGTGTCATGAACTATACAAGCTTTTATATATTTCACTTTCTTGTTAACTTAACTTTACATAGTAGGTAATTTCACAACCAGTAGTCAGGTTATATACTTTAGTAGAAATACAAACTGTAGGTTTTTTAAAATATCATTAAATCAATTTAGTGTGTCATCACAATTTTAAAAAATGAAATAGGCCATCTAATGAGTACACGACACGTAGAAAAATAAACTGTTTCTTGCAGCACTCTACGTTTATAAATAGTTTGTCTTGACAAAGAAGGAAGTTCTTACCGTGTGTCGTGGTCAGAAAGTGTGAGACGCTACATTAGTGGAGGGAGCAAGTTCTTTAAACAGCAAGGATCAGCAAAGACCGTGGGGGATGGTGACATTTGAGCTGTAAAGACAGGAACAGGTAGGGTGGGGAAGGGGAAGGGGGAAGGAACTGTGTGAGCAAAGCCACAGAGGTGTTGATGGCCTGGGCTACGTTTGTTTAAGACTCTCTGTGCCTTTTCCTGATACTAGGAACAGGGCTCTCCTGACCTCTGCTGGCATAGACAGAGGCCCTAAGGGGAGAAAAAACCTACCTCTGTGAACCTCAGAAGATGCATTAACTTTACTACTACTACTGTCCTGTGGGGGGGTGGGCACCACAGGCTTCTATCATTGCATGTTAATATCAAGTTCCCCACAGCCACGCTGAAGGGGTAGAGCCTGCCCTGCCTAGCTGAGCACCTGGCCAGAGCAGAGCTTACACTTTCTGCAGGCAGGGTTGATGCTTGAGAAAGACCAAGATGAGTGGAGCTGAGTATGCCCAGTTCCTCTTTTTAAGTGCACCTGCAGAGGAGGAGTATAATGAAGGATGGAACAGGAGTGTTACACTAAGAAGTCCCCCACATGGAAACGTGATGAGTGAGGAATATGAATCCCCCCTGTGTGTCAACTGAAGCCACAGCCCACATTTCATGTAAGCCTCTTGGTGTTCTGGCGGAGGATGCAAGTGCCCTGGGCGATCCATGGGGAGGGGATTTCTAGAATGGAGAGCTTCTCTCAGGACATTCCCATGCCCATCTTTAATTGTGTTTACAAACTGACCTATGAAAAAACCAAGAGTGTTGCTTATTTCCTCCCCAACTGCATCTGGAATGGACACCAGGCTTCCCTTAGCAGCCCTCTGTGAGCCAGAGCCAGCCTGAAACAAATCGCAGGTGTTCACACTTCCTGTCTTGTCAAGTGAAGGCTGTGCTTGGGAAGATGTGTGACTCTAAGGCCACCAGATGGTGGGAGACAGGGCACTGTCTGAACCAGGGCAAAGTGTGACACCAGACTATACACTATGTGACAACTCTGTTGGCCCATAGACCACCTCTAAGTAGAGGGTGGAGGTTTGAGTGAGGCATTAGCCCCCAGAGATACTGACAAGTGTGTGCACACTGCTGCTTGCCATTCTGGAGTCCCATCTGCCCCTTCAATCTCATGAGTTCTTGGCTAAAATGGCATTTAGCAACTACGAGCCCAGTGACCCAACCTATAAATGCCAGAGCTGAAAGCTACTTCAAGGCTAGCTATTCCAACCTCCTTGTATGAATGAAGAAATGAGGGCCTGGAAAGGGAAAAGGTTTCACAGCAATCTTTAGCTGGAACTTAAAACCTGGTGTCCACCATAGAGTATAATGAGTGATTAAGAACATAGGCTTTGTAGCCAGACCACCTGTGACCATGGGGTTAATGATCCTCCATAAGCTTCAGTTCCCTCACCTATAAATTGAGGGCGATGAGAGAACGTGACTCCCTACAAGGCTATTGGGAGGATGGAGTGGGAGGTCTTCCATGCAGGGCTGGCAGGTGGGAACTGCTCAATAAATGATCCCAGTCTGTGTCCCTGTCATCAGCACTCCCACCCTGCTCTGCCCCCACCTCAGTGACTTTCACATACTGCATTGCTGAGTCCCTGTGGGGCTGGAAAGAAGCCTGGGCCCAAGCCCCCACTAGTTTTATTGGACTAAACTTTTGGAAACCTCATATTCTTCTTCTGCTGGACATGGAACAAGAC